ATGTAGCAAGGTTCTTACCGATTGAACTTTGCTACTTGTACATTGATTTTGGACACGTTGTTTTGACACTTCCATTTTTGTCAAGTGTCAATTGGATGAGAAAATTATTTGAAAATTAAACTGTCTAACATCGTAATGTCACTGGGAAAGTGTAAACTAAAGTGTGTACACCAAAGTGTCCATGTGGTAAGATTCTTACGGATTGAAATTCGCTATTTGTACACTTATTTTTGACACGTTTTACACTTGCATTGTTGTCAAGTGTCAATTGGATGGGAAAACTCTTTGAAATTTGAACTGTCCAATAGGGAAATGTCACGTGGCAAGGTTTAAACTAAAGTGTACACCATACTGTACATGTAGAAAGGTTCTTATCGATTGAACTTTGCTATTTGTATACCGAGTTTTGTTACGTTGTTTGACACTTGCATTGTTGTCCAGTGTCAATTGGATGGGAAACTGTTTGAAATTTAAACTGTCTAACGGTTAATGACACGTGGCAAAGTGTAAACTAAAGTGTACACCATAGTGTACATGTAGCAAGGTTCTTACCGATTGAACTTTGCTATTTGTAAACTTATTTTTGACACGTTGTTTGACACTTGCATTGTTGTCAAGTGTCAATTGGATGGGAAAACTCTTTGAAATTTAAACTATCCAACAGGGTAATGACACGTGGCAAAGTGTAAACTTAAGTGTACACCACATTGTACATGTAGCAAGGTTCTTATCGTTTGAACTTTGCTATTTGTACATTGATTTTGGACATGTTTTTTGGCACTTGCATTGTAGTACTATCCATTAGGTTAATGTCACGTGGCAATGTGTACGCCATAGTGTACATGTAGCAAGGTCCTTACCGATTGAAGTTTGCTATTTGTACACTGATTTATGACACGTTGTTTGGCACTTACATTGTTGTGAAGTGACAATTGGATGGGGAAATTGTTTGAAATTTAAACTGTCCAGCAAGGTAATATCACGTGGCAAAGCGTATACTAAAGTCTGTACACCAAAGTGTACATGTTGCAAGGTTCTTACCGATTGAACTTTGCTATTTGAACATTGATTTTTGATAGGTTGTTTGACACTTGCATTGTTGTCAAGTTTCAATTGGATTTGAAAACTATTTGAAATTTAAACTGTCTGACACGTAATGTCATGTGGCATGATGCAAACAAAAGTGTACACCATAGTTTACATGTCGCAAGGTTCTTACCGATGGAACTTTACTATTTGTACACCAATTTTTGGCACGTTGTTTGACACTTTCATTATTGCCAAGTGTCTACTGGCATGGAAAACTGTTTGAAATTTAAACTGTCCAACAGGGTAATGCCACGTGGCAAAGTGTAAACTAAAGTGTACACCATAGTGTACATGTAGCAAGGTTCTTACCGATTGAACCTTGCTACTTGTACACTGATTTTGGACACGTTGTTTTGACGCTTGCATTTTTGTCAAGTGTCAATTGGATGAGAAAACTGTTTGAAATTTAAAATGTCCAATAGGGTAATGTCACGTGGCAAAGTGTAAACTAAAGTGTACACCGTAGTGTACATGTAGGAAGGTTCTTATCGTTTAAACTTTGCCATTTCTAAACTGAGTTTTGATACATTATTTGACACCTGCATTGTTGTCAAGCGTCAATTGGATGGGGAAACAGTTTGAAATTTAAACTGTCAAATAGGGAAATGTCACGTGGCAAAGTGTAAATTAAAGTGTACACAATAGTGTACATGTAGGAAGGTTCTTATCGATTGAACTTTGCTATTTGTACAACGAGTTTTGATATGTTGTTTGACACTTGTATTGTTGTCAAGTGTCAATTAGATGGGAAAATTGTTTGAAATTTAAATTATCTAACAGGGTAATGACACGTGGCAAAGTGAAAACAAAAGTGTACACCATAGCGTACATGTCGCAAGGTTCTTACCGATTGAACTTTGTTATTTGTACACTGATTTTTGACACGTTGTTTTATGCTTGTATTGTTTTCAAGCGTCAATTGGATGGGAAACTCTATGAAATTTGAACTGTCCAACAGGGAAATGTCACATGGCAAGGTTTAAACTAAAGTGTACACCATAGTGTACATGTAGAAAGGTTCTTATCGATTGAAATTTGCTATTTGTATACCGAGTTTTGTTACGTTGTTTGACATTTGCATTGTTGTCAAGTGTCAATTGGATGGGAAACTGTTTGAAATTTAAACTGTCTAACAGGTAATGACGCGTGGCAAAGTGTAAACTAAAGTGTACACCATAGTGTACATGTGGCAAGGCACTTACCGATTGAACTTTGCTATTTGTAAACTTATTTTTGACACGTTGTTTAACACTTGCATTATTGTCAAGTGTTAATTGGAGGGGGAAAACTCTTTGAAATTTAAACTATCCAACAGGGTAATGACACGTGGCAAAGTGTAAACTAAAGTGTACACCACATTGTATATGTAGCAAGGTTTTTACCGATTGAACTTTGCTATTTGTACACTAATTTTGGACATGTTGTTTGACGCTTTCATTGTAGTCAAGTGTCAATAGGATGGGAAAACCATTTAAAATTTAAACTATCCATTAGGTTAATGTCACGTGGCAATGTGTACACCATAGTGTACATGTAGCAAGGTCCTTACCGATTGAAGTTTGCTATTTGTACACTGATTTATGACACGTTGTTTGGCACTTACATTGTTGTGAAGTGACAATTGGACGGGGAAATTGTTTGAAATTTAAACTGTCCAGCAAGGTAATATCACGTGGCAAAGCGTTTACTAAAGTCTGTACACCAAAGTGTACATGTTGCAAGGTTCTTACCAATTGAACTTTGCTATTTGAACATTGATTTTTGATAGGCTGTTTGACACTTGCATTGTTGTCAAGTTTCAATTGGATTTGAAAACTATTTGAAATTTAAACTGTCTGACACGTAATGTCATGTGGCATGATGCAAACAAAAGTGTACACCATAGTTTACATGTCGCAAGGTTCTTACCGATGGAACTTTACTATTTGTACACCAATTTTTGGCACGTCGTTTGACACTTTAATTATTGACAAGTGTCTATTGGCATGGAAAACTGTTTGAAATTTAAACTGTCCAACAGGGTAATGCCACGTGGCAAAGTGTAAACTGAAGTGTACACCATAGTGTACATGTAGCAAGGTTCTTACCGATTGAACTTTGCTACTTGTACACTGATTTTGGACACGTTGTTTTGACGCTTGCATTTATGTCAAGTATCAATTGGATGAGAAAACTGTTTGAAACTTAAAATGTCCAATAGGGTAATGTCACGTGGCAAAGTGTAAACTAAAGTGTACACCGTAGTGTACATGTAGGAAGGTTCTTATCGTTTAAACTTTGCTATTTGTAAACTGAGTTTCGATACATTATTTGACACCTGCATTGTTGTCAAGTGTCAATTGGATGGGGAAATAGTTCGAAATTTAAACTGTCCAATAGGGAAATGTCACGTGGCAAAGTGTAAACTAAAGTGTACACGATAGTGTACATGTAGGAAGGTTCTTATCGATTGAACTTTGCTATTTGTACACCGAGTTTTGATATGTTGTTTGACACTTGCATTGTTGTCAAGTGTCAATTAGATGGGAAAATTGTTTGAAATTTAAATTATCTAACAGGGTAATGACACGTGGCAAAGTGCAAACAAAAGTGTACACCATAGCGTACATGTCGCAAGGTTCTCACCGATTGAACTTAGCTATTTGTGCACTGATTTTTGACACGTTGTTTTATGCTTGTATTGTTGTCAAGTGTCAATTGGATGGGAAACTCTATGAAATTTGAACTGTCCAACAGGGAAATGTCACATGGCAAGGTTTAAACTAAAGTGTACACCATAGTGTACATGTAGAAAGGTTCTTATCGATTGAACTTTGCTATTTTTATACCGAGTTTTGTTACGTTGTTTGACATTTGCATTTTTGTCAAGTGTCAATTGGATGGAAAATTGTTTGAAATTTAAACTGTCTAACGGGTAATGACGCGCGGCAAAGTGTAAACTAAAGTGTACACCATAGTGTACATGTGGCAAGGCACTTACCGATTGAACTTTGCT